AAAGATAGAGGGGCGGACAGAAGTGACCAGAAGACGAGGAAGAAGACGTAAGAAGATGCTGGATGACCTTGGGGACAGAAGAGGATTTTTTCATTTGAAGGAGAAAACTCTAGATCGCATGAAGTGGAGGAACACTTTTGGAAGAGACTGTGGACTTGTCGCCTTGACAGATTACTAATGAATGAATGAATAGCCTCGAATGACAGGATGATAGAAAGTGATGAATTGAAAAAGATTTGGAAGGAAGCGGTCCTGGTGTAATCCAGATACTGTCCCAACATTTGTCTGGAGGGACTGAAGAAAACCACGAAATTCCTCTATCAGGATATACGGTTTCCTGCTCGAAGTTCAAACCAAGTACTTCCAAAATACGATTCCAAGTACAACCACTGATCCAAACAGTTCTTACATTGATGAATCTCGAATTTTCAGCAATTCAGTGCGCTCCATGTACGTTCATTGTACGTAAGCAGAATAACTCTTTTCTTTCCACGGATATGTTTTCCTTGTCAGTTTCGAAATATCTAAAACTTTAAGCCGATCAAAGTGGCCACGCGCATAAGGCATGAACAGTCTTCGCTCGCTCGAACGCTGGAGTCGTGGGTTCGAATCCCACTCAAGGCACGGATGTCTGTTTTTGTTTATTCTGTGTGTAGGTAGCAGCCTTGCGACGGAATACCGACTGTGTGTGAGGCATTAAGAAACTGAAAAAAAAACGGCTAAGGGCCAACAGAAGGACTGTAGATGGATGGGCGGACAGACAGATGAAACTTCAAAGAAGGAATGCCACTGAAATTAAGAACTTAATGTTTACTCATATAATTACGAATCGATTTGTAATGAGGATTGGAAAGTCATTCCGAGACGCAGCCGTGGCTACCGCGCCGCAATGCGTTGACAAGACACAGCGGAGTTGATGTCATTGCCATAGCGTTCTCTAGAGCAGTGCCGCGGAAACTGGTAGCAGACCTGTGAAAGGCAAAGCTGTCCCTACGCTTACCTAATTAAAGACATATGGAGCCGTGGATGTACAGATCCAAGTATTTCTTGACCTCGGCACTAGATGGAGGTGAGTGGTCAGCTTCAAGCCCTGGCCGCTTTACCCCCAGGGAAATAGACCCCGGTACCCATTGGATAGGAGGCTGGGTGAGTCCCAGTGCCGGTGTGAAGGACGTGGAGAAAAGAAAATTCTTACCCCTACCGGGACCCTAGCTCCGACTATATACCGACTGCGCTATCCCGGCTCAGTCCTGTAAACTTGTAAATATTTGCAGCAAGGTGCTAAACACATCCCGCACAGGTTACAGATACAGAAGTGTAAAGAAGGCTCAAGAAAACAAGGACAGTGAATGAAAAATGATAGAAGACAAACAATAAATTAATTATGAAATCAGTAATGATGACATAATTGTGGTAATTAATGAAGATATTTTTCACGAAAAATATTAAATTGTGAACTTCCGTTAATAAACACCATTAACGGAGAAACATCTGAAGATGTCTGAAACTTAAATGAATAATTTTGGGCCGAATATGATTTTATAATTAGGTTGTGCCTTGCGGTTGTTATGTAAATGAGGCTGCCAGTAACAGTAAGAGAAGGCAGATATCACAGGGCAAGTGATGTTTTAGTCAGCCTGCTGGATTCGGCCACCATGTTACAGCTGATTGGTTCTTCAGGAATAGAAACAGTATTCAGTGACATCTGAAGCAACTTATGACGTTTGGAACGAATATCCTATGAAGTCAGTAAATTTATTTTTTTTTACTTCGTTTTGTAAACAACCACAGGATCCATGAAGTCTACAAATGAACACAGTGTTCAGTGAAATAAAAAAGTGAAATAACAAATACTTAAGAAAATTATAAAACCACACTAATGCATTAGCAGTGAATATACTATACAATAGTGAAACTACACAGACTGAAAAGTTACACCGTCCTAACTCTACCAGACAGACGTGAGTAAAACCCTATTACAAGAATAAAAAATAAATAAATAAAAAAAAAGAAGAAAAGAAAAAGAAAAATCTAAGTGAACAAAAAGGTATATGAATTACGCCGCTGGGCATATCCCATTCACGAGCCAGTACTTTTTGGACATATATATATATATATATTTATTGCGGATTCTGCAGATTATGTGTAATAAATGACTGAAAAAGAAACTTCGTTTTGGTGAACTGATATTATTATTATTATCTTAAAATAAGGAAATAATAATCAAACCAACAAAGAAAGGAATATACAAAAAACAGGAGTAAAATAATAAAATAAGCAGCTTACTTACTTACTTACTCATGGAGCTGAGCCCTTCTGGAGGAGCCGCTAATTCTGCAGCTACTCAAGAATTTCCCAGCATTTTATGGAACCCGAAGGTTCATTACCGTGTTCACAAGAGCCCTCCACTGGTCCCTATCCTGAGCCACATCAATCCATACCATCCCATCCTATCTCTCTAAGATCCATTTTAATATTGTCCACCCAACTACGTCTTGGTCTTCCCAGTGGTCTCTTTCCTTCTGGCTTTCTCACCAATAGACTATACGCATTCCTCGTCTCCCCCCGTTCATGCTACATGCCCTGCCCTCCTCATCCTCCTTGACTTGATGACTTAGGTCGTTTATCCAAGGAATCCGTCCAGGTCCGAGGCTTTATGTTCATTTTCGTAACATACTTATTTTTTTACTGTGAGGAGTTGTTAGCCCTACGCCCAACCCCCAAGCTGGAGGGCCACCCCTTGTCGGCTGTCCGCGACTGCATATTCAGTATATTCGCAGCTTCCCTCCAAAACTTGAGGGCGTCTCCTCCATCCGCAACCTGAGGACGCGCCATGCTGGCGACAAAAATAAGCAGCTACCAAATGAAATTGTTTCGCTTGAGAATAAATTTCATATAATTTTCATTTTATATTTTATTGCCTGCATTTTATTGTTTTGATGTTCTCTGCTTTCTTGTTAATCCCGTGAAGTTCATATCTCTGGTTACTTGCAACCGTTCAAGATATAAGGAAACATTTGCGAACTACAGTTATGTTACACTTCAGCATTTGCGTATCTGTTGGTAGGGAGTATTCTGTTCTTACGTCATGCAATTGGCTCTGAGAACTCAGAGCTTCACGACAAGAGAAGAACGTACATCTTGCGCTAAAATAGGGCATCGCGTCAGCTGTGACCCAAGCTCCTACCAAACATGGCTCGTTATTATGACAGCTGATGCTCTATGGCTTCCTGCAGCCACGGAGATGCTTTTTATACTCACAAAAATATAATAGGGTATCCCTGAAAAAAAAAACCCCGTGCCACAAGTTAGCATCTGATGACACGATCTTTCTATACAGGAGAAGGAATCACGGGATTTACTGACTCAATGGAACAGATTCCTTCTGTGGAACTTAGCAACCGCGAAGATGGTCACAGATACCCCTCCTGTTATGAGACGCCAAAGTTCATCACCTTGTTCACAAGAGCCCACCACTCAGCCCTTTCCTGAGCCAATTGAAGCCAGTCACGCCCTCAGGTCCTGTTCCTGCGACAACAGTTTTAAGCAAATCTACGTCTAGGCCTCCAAAATGTTCATCCCTTGAGGTTTTCCGATCAGTATGTTATATTTGCAAAGAATTAGTCCAGGCCCGAGGTCCTTTATGACATTTCGTAATAAGCACTTTTTACGGAGGATATTGATGGGAAGGCCAGAAGGAAAGAGGCCACTAAGATGACCAAGACGTAGGTGGGTGGAAAGTATTAAAATTGATCTTAGAGAGACAGGATTGGGTGGTGTGTACTGGATCAGTCTGGCTCAGTGGAGGACTCTTGTGAACACGGTAATGAACCTTCGGGTTCCATAAAATGCTGGGAAGTTCTTGAGTAGATAGATGTACAGTTGGCGGCTTCTCTAGAGAGGCTCAGCTCCATGAAGTTAGTTTTATGTTAATTTCCAAATCTCATTCATTCTGCGTACACTGCCTATCTCATTCTCCATTATTAGATCGCCCAACTCAGTCCCACTGAATCACTGTACGTCACAATTCTCTCTAATGTTTGTTAGCAAGTGCAGAAACTGCAATGTCATTGCATTGTGTTTTCTTGTTTCAGGCTTGCAAGGGATGCATTGGAACTTACAAATGCGACTGCACTGGCATCAAGGGACTCCCTGGGGAACTGGGGATCTTCGGGTTGAGAGGTAGTGAGGGTCTGCCTGGAGATATTGGACTGGAGGGACCACTTGGACCAAAAGGGGAGAAGGGAGCCGCAGGAGAAGATGGCGGTCCTGGAGACAAGGGCTACCGGGTGAGTACCGGATAAGTTGTACAGAAGAAAATATTATACCCAGAAATAAGGTTTGTCAGGCTTTCGTACTGAAGTTTTTGATATACCGTATTTACGCATGTATAGGCCGCAGCACAATTTTCAGACAGAAATTATAGAAAAAATAATTTTCTTGGAATATTATTTCAGGAGTAGAACACCATGTATTACTAATTATGAATATATATTTTTTTTTAAATGAAGTGTGATTTCGAATATTTCGAATGTAAGCCGCACCCCAGTTTTCCTCTTGAATTTTTGGCAAAAAATGTGCGGCCTATACATGCGTAAATACGGTACATTTACTTCGAAATAAAGTTCCAGATAAATTTGCAGAATAATCTAAAAATGTGATCGATTAGTCTTATCGAGTTTATTTAGAAAATAGATATATAAGCAAGCTATGTTTTTCTTTTAACCCGTTCTATGTTTAATATATATTAATATATATTCAAAAAGAATGAACCGACTTTATTACGCAATATTTTATTAAAGGAGAGTAATACAAAACTCCAGCCCAGTCACCAGTATTCTACTCACAATCAATTTTTATTTCCTCTCTTACTAGTGCTCAATGTGGCCACACCACCTGCAGCACGGGCAACATCAATGCGATAAGAGAATTCCTCCCAGGCGCGTATCAGTATATCACGATGCACTGAGTTAATCGCTGTTGTTATTCGATGTTTAAGGTCATCGAGGTTAGTGGGTAGCGGTGGAACATAAACGTGATCTTTTGCATATCCCCACAAGAAGAAATCACACACGGTGAGGTCTGGGGCTCTCGCAAGCCAAGCACAAAGAGCAAGGTCTTTGGCCCCCTTCCGACCAATCCATCGCTGGGGCACTTTTTCATTTAAAAAAGCTCGGACCATCAGGTGCCAAAGGGGCGGTGCTCCATCTTGTTGAAAAACGAAGTCATGCGAATCTGCTTGCAGTGAAGAGCCAGTTTTGGAGCATATCGAGATAGGTTTGTCCTGTAACGGTGTTTCATTCAAAGAAAAAGGACCATAAACCTTGTCCTGAGACACAGCACAGAAGACGTTCACCTTAGGGGAATCTCTTTCGTGCTCAACTGTTTCATGTGGGTGCTCTGTTCCCCAAATACGCATATTGTGACAATTGACTGTGCCGCTCAAGTGAAAAGTCGCTTCATCACTAAAAATTAAACGTGAAATGAACGTTTCGTCTTCCGTCATCTCCAGCATCGAATCGCAAAATTCCATCCGCTTCCATTTGTCGTCATTGGTAAGTGCCTGAACGAGCTGCAGTCTGTATGGTTTCAAACGTAGACGTACTGTTAGCACACGCCAGACAGTGGATTGAGGGATCGCAAGCTCACGGCTAGCTCGATTTGTTGACTTCCGCGGGCTCCTCTCAAACGCAGCACGGATTCTCGCCACTTGTTCCTCCGAGACTCGTGGTCGTCCTGGAATTTTTCCTTTACACAGACACCCACTCTCTTGAAACTGTCGAAACCACCGTCGAATGTTCTTAGGACAGGGCGGATTAATGCCGAATCGCCTTCGAAAAGCACCCTGCACCGTGACAACCGAATTTGTTTTCGCGAACTCGAGAACGCAGAACGCCTTTTGCTGAGGACTAGCCATTCCGAGGGTAAACGAACAACTGAACGTTGAAGGAAGAACGACGCGACTTGAGCGCCCCTGTGGCAGCCGTTCACAACTTACATAACTCCTCTTTCAAATGGTCACTGACTCATTCCATGACGATGCTTGAGAACTGAAGCAATGCGTCATGAAATCGGTTCATTCTTTTTGAATAACCCTGTATATACCGGTCTAGAAAACCGAGATTAACGGCTGTGGGGATCCGTTGCGCTGACCACGCGACACTCTCTATCCCCAAAAGTTGGCACCAACTTCGCCTAAAAGCGGCGGTCGCTCAGTTGGTGTAGTTCGTTTGCGGACTACAGGCCACGGAGTTTTTTGCTTTTATATATATAATTATATGCATACCTTTTCGTGAAAACTTCTAAGTCCTGTTGTTTGAAAAAACTTCACAACGAAAGCCTGGGACAATTGCAGAGGTTTGTTTCGAGTAATACTATCACACATAAGCCCGCCTCTGAAAGACGATTCATCACATTGGCGGCGTGGGATAATGTTTTGGCTTTAGAAGAAATATCAGTAGCAGATTTATCTTGTTTTATAAGAACATGGAGCCATTCTCAGATCCCTAGTTACGTAATAAGACCCGTCTTCTTGCAAGTGATACTATAGCATGTAGAACAGTTGCTAAGTAATTACTCTGTAAACAATGGTCGTTATTGGGTAAAGGCCGCAACAGATTCATAACACGCACCATTGGAGTAACTGGGAAGCGGTGTTTTCTACGTGGCGATGCGACAGCTGCGTGACGCAACAACAGAACTGTTATAAGCGGTGTTTTGTACTCGGTCTGTGCCGAGATGTTATAAGCAGGACAGATCTAGAGTTTAGTGAGATAGGAAATAGTCGCTGGCCGGTAAGGACGTGAACACGGAAGTTGAGGGATCTACGGGGTTGGAAACCGTTACCAGACAACGACCGGTAAAGACACAGTAGACTGTGAAGACTTAGTGCGTACTGTAGTGGATTGTACATTGTGTGAATTGACGATAGAGCTATAGTTACTTGTAGTTACAATCTGTAAGTGTTCAGTAAACCCAATTAGCAATCAAAACCCCGTCCATAGTCACTCATACATGTGACAGTACCAAATTCTGTGATGATGTTCCCCCCCCCCCCACCCGTTTTTAGACACAAGAAACTTCATTCCCAGATGCCATTATGTCAGTCCGATGACACAAAGGTGACAGTGCCTTCGTAAAACTTACCTCTTTCGAAGTGTCATGGTATGTAGAGTGCCTTGACAGGTTTTATTGTTCGCTATGAAGGCGAAGTATCGTAGGCTGTGACATACGCTCAAGTTGCAGTGACTTTTAGCCAGAAATTGTACTGTTCACTTGAAATTTCGAAATATCCGTTATAATTTTTTATATTAATTGCGCCTCAGAGCTCAGTAGTGTTTGGACAAAATGACGAAAAGAATATTTTAACCGAGAAGAGACGAAGTAACATAGTTACATAGCGATAAATTCATGTTCTTAACCTTCATGTTATATTTATGGAGATTTAATCGGGAGAAAGATTAAGAGACATTTAGGCAAGCAGATGCCAGAAACAGAAACAAGACTATGTGACGTCAGAAAGAATGTTTTAAAATAAGGTGATGAGGCCAGAGTATTGAAGAGAAGGGACACTGATGATACGGAAACAGCGTCAAGCTCGATTTCTATGAACTGTACTAGATATTACAAGACGAGATCGCCAAAGAAATACACACAGGAGATTAAATGTTTCCATAATTAGCATCAAAATCGAAAACTACAAAAGGAATTGGCTGCAACATGAATACAGAATGAAGACAAATAGAATGCTAAAGCTAGCACTGGTATGGCCGCGCCATAGCTCAATAGTCGCTGACTTCCCACCGCGGCGGCCCGGATTCGAGTCCGGGTCAGGTCAAGTGAGATTTGTGGTGGGCAAAGTGGCGCTAGTGTAGATTTTCTCCGAGTACTTCGGTTTCCCCTACCAACCTTCATTCCACCAAATTCCCCATCATCATAATCACCAGGGGCAGGTACAATAGGCCAATTAGTGGCCGACGTGACGAGTGGACCCAGCTGGACTCCACCCCCACTAGGCGAATTAAAATTAAATTTGACACTGGTATACAGACTATTGGTTAGACTTGAAAGGATTCTGACGATCGTGTATACTGTACTTCTTTTGGCTTATTTTGGACTTCACCCATCGTCCGGTATATAAAAGACAAAAAACCACGACGTTTCGGAGACTGGATCTGTCTCAGTCTTCAGGTGGACCAGTGATTGAGACTAGCTCTTTCTAAGGGGCCCAACTGAGTAGGTTAAACCTTCCCTATCCACCTGAAGACGGAGACAGATCCAGTCTCCGAAACGTCGTGGTTTTTTGTCTTTTATATACCGGACGATGGGTGAAGTCCAAAATAAACCAAAAGAAGTACAGACTATTGGGCTGAAGATGCTGGATGCATGGGGAGTTTAATTACGTCACATCGTCCCAGTTCGTAATGATACTGACCAAAAGAATTAGAAGGGCATGTATGGATGCAACAAGGGTACACAGTAATTCTTTTAAGTTTTCAGGGTAAAAGAAGTAATGTGGGAGACCTAATGGACGAAGAGAAGTTTCTCATATTGAAATTAATCTACATGAAATTGAAATTTTATTACGAAATAGATTAAACTGCTTCAAGAGTAGGATCACATGTTAGATCTTGGTGTTGAACGAGGTTTAACTGGTTATTTAGTTGGCCCGTTAGTTCGTTATTCTGGTTTGAACGGTCGGTTTGAAAGACCTGGCTCAGATGTAGGAACTAGGCTGTTGTTTCAAGCGGTTGCTGAAGTATGCAGAGAACATGGCGTCTAGTGAATGCGTAAGTGTCTTCATTTCATTTTGTATTCGTCTATCAGCTCCGTACTTCTGAGAATGCCATCACCTGAGGCGGCACTGTCTGAGAANCGAAAAAAAAAAAAAAAAACAGAGAGAAATGTGTCCTTTGTTTTCAACGGAAGTAAGATTTCTGAACTTAAATTGATGATCATTAGGACTGCGGTCACGATTAATCGATTTATTCCGTAAACCCCTGTTATTTTATTTAGTCCAATAAATTAAGAAGAATTATACGATACTGTTAAACCTTACTAAAGCCAGAAGGAAAGAGACCACTGGGAAGACCAAGGCGTAGGTGGGTAGACAATATTAAAATGGATCTTAGAGAGAGAGATAGGATGGGATAGGATGGATTGGATTGATCTGGCTCAGGATAGGGACCAGTGGAGGGCTCTTGTGAACAGGGTAATGAACTTTCGGGTTCCAGGAAATGCTGGGAAATTCTTGAGTAGCTGTAGCTTTGGTGGCTCCACAAGAAGGGCT